TATGGGTTTTTTGGCTTAAAACTACCAGAAAAGATTTCTGATACCAAAAAATACAATCTCAGTATTTCTGATACAAAAAAATATGGTTTTTTGATAATCTTTCTGGCTTGAGATTGTATTTTTTTGGCTATAGTATCTTTTTGGCCTGAGATTGTATTTTTTTGGCTACAGTATCTTTCTGGCCTGAGATTGTATTTTTCCTGAGGTATATGGCAGCTATCTCAGTTGGATTTTTTAACTGATGATCATTTTCTATAATCATAGGAGGAATATATGCTGTCTCTAAATATATGGTTTTAGCACTAGGAGTTTGAGTGCTTATTGGTGTTTGAAGGGGAGATAAATCAATTTCTTGTATTTGCCTTCTTATTAGAGCATTTGGTGTTAATGGTGATGCCAGGGATGATCGTGGACTAGGGATTATTTCCATCATCCTCTTTTGTTGGCTCCTTCTGCCCTCCCTACAAAAACTCTCGTGTCAAAAAGTCGGGCAAATAATTGGTGCTACCATTAATATGTTAAATAGTAAATTCAAAGGCATAGAGAATACCTTGCCCTCTTGCAAAAGTTTGCTTTGAAACAAGATTTTTTACATCTTTCTGAAGGATGTCCTTGGCTGCTTTACAGTCGGTTCTTATGAGGAATGCTTGATTAAGCAGGTCACTTTGAATTTTGTGACAGCATGGACAATAGCAAGTATCTCTTTTTTCACTGTTGAATAGTTTTGTTGAGCTGGGTTCCAGGTTTTAGAGGTAAACCGGATCAGTTGCTCTTGATTATTCATTTTTTGCTTTAAAACAGCACCAAGTCCTTGTTCTAAGGCGTCTGTCTCTACTATTTTAAACGTTGTTGGACTTGATAGGGCTAAGCATAGTAATTCTTTAGCTTTTGTTTTAATTTTTTTGACTGCCTTGGTATGTTCTTGGGTTCATTCTGGAGGATTCTTTTTCAATCTCTGGAATAAAGGTTTTGCATCTACGGCCAAATCTTTATAAAAGTCCGAAATATAATTTAAACAACCAAGGAATCTCTGTAATTCAGTTTTTCCCGTAATCAGATCTGGAAATTTAGATGCGAATTCTATTGCTCTATCAATGGGAATGATTCTTCCTTGGAAAATATTGTGTCCTAAAAACCTTATTTTGTTTGGCATAGATTTATTTTTCTTGCAGAAACTACTAAGCCAACATTTTTTATTGCTTTTACAAATGTACTTAAATGTTTCCAATGTTGATTAATTGATTATGAGAAAACAAGTACATCATCAATATAAACAATCATGAATTTGGTATAAGGATTAAAAATTTCATTTATGATATTTTGAAATTCGGATGGTACATTTTTTAATCCGAAAGGCATAACGTTCCATTCAAATTATCTAAATGGAACATTAAAAGCAGTTTTATATTTATCTTTTCGGCAATCTGGATTTGCCAGTAGCCTGATTTAAGATCAAATTTTGAAAATATACAAGCGTTTGCTAGTCTATCTAAGAGATCTCTTTTGTTTGGGATTGGATATCTGATCCATCTTAAAACTTTGTTGAGTGGTTTATAATTTATAACCAATCTTGGAGCCCTCTTTCTATCTCGGTGGTCTTTTCCACATAAAAGGCTGCATAGCTCCAGGGTGATGAATTTTTTCTGATAAGCTTTTTGTCCAATAATTCTTTTATTTTTTTTTTACAGATTTCGAGTAACCTATTGTTCATTTGAATAGGTCTTGCCTTAGTCGGAATTTGTCCCTCTCGAAAATCTGGTTCATAGGGAAGTTCAACTATATCTTGCTTTATGTCCCAAAAAGCATTGGGGATATCAGCACATATATTTCTTTCCATATCTATTTTCAGAGATTTAACTTTATTTTGAATATCAGGAAGAGAATTTTTCTTCCACATTTTTGTATTTTATTTCTTCTTTCAGATAATAAAGAAATTTTTCGTTAGAAGAAATCTTATTTTTAATGTTATTGATTCCATGAATTTTAGGCTTACAATAAAGGTGAATTTAACCTTATGTCCTTCAATACTAGCTTCTATCCCTGTGTCATCAATTTTAATTGGATAGAGCATGTTTAAGAAGGGAGTCCCTAGAATAACAGCTTGACTTAAACATTTGACCATTATGAAGGGGAACATGAAACAAACATCATTATTGCATACTGCAGCATCTGATAATTTATAATTAATTAGCATTTTGCTACCATCGGCAGTATTAAGAATTTGGGTAGTCTTGCTTAAGTATTTAGTTGGTACTAATCCTTCATTAATGCAATTTAGATCAGCTCCTGAATCTATCAAGGCAGTAGTTTGGAAACTGTGTTCCTTTTGAACCACAATTTTGATTTTAGTAAACCATTTTTCAGTTATTATTTTGTCTATTAAGTTTGCATATTTACAATCCTGGTCCTTTTCTATCACATTCATACCAGCTTTGGAGGTTTCAGGTTTAGGAAGGGTATCTTCAACCTCGGGTGGTAGAGGAATATTATATTCAGTTATTAGATTATCAAATTCTCTTTCTATGTATTCTTCTTCAATTCCTTCGTTAATAGGGTTTTGGGTTAATTCCAATATTTGAACCCTTGCTTTCAGAGCTATCAACTCATTTCTAACCTCGTTGATTTCATATTTTAGCTCAGATATTGAAGGTTCTTCTTCTATCTGTGTTTTATTTTGTACCTTTTTAAGGATGTTCTGGAAACTATAATCTTCTTTTGATGGGACAAGAGAAGACTTGGTTTTTCCCAATGGGGTTTTAGACATATTGATGTATTGAACTAAGGCTTCTCTTTTAGCCTCTGAATCAGATATTTTATCGATAAGGTCTATAATCAGATCTTCTTCTTTTGTAAGGGTATTGATGTTTAATCTATGCATATCCATTATATTGGCAATTTTCTTCTTTTGGGTTATTTTCATCACCAGAGTCTGAATCAGAATTGCTGATAATGATATCCTCATCATTTATTTCTCCAATTAATATTTCATCTTCTGAATCAGAAGAATCAGAGGTTTCATCTTTTAAGAATTTTTTGGAAAATTTTTCTTTTGTTTTTAAAGAATGTTTAAATTTTTTCGTTCTAAATTTTTCATGTTTTTCTTTATGAAAGGCTTTGAAGGGGGTAGGGTATTATATCCAAACTGTTCGCATAAATCTCCTAACTCCTTTCTCCACGTTATTCTCTGTTTCTCTAACTGTCTCCGAAGTTTTAAATCTGTACATAAAGTCAAACCTTCAGCACAGATTTTGGCTGATAATTCTCCTAGTGTATACAGATTTCGGCTGAACTATTAAATAAGATTCTGAAAATCTTATTTAATAAAAGGATTTCGGCTGAATCTATTAAATGATTTCGGCTGAACTATTAAATGATTTCGGTTGAACTATTAAATGATTTAAATGATTTCGGAATAAAATGAATTCGGAAATAAATTTCGGCTGAACTATTAAATGATTTCGGTTGGTACGAATGTAAACAACATGGTACATTTAATAGTTCATTTAATTGTTGGTGACCAATCTCAGCTGATCAGGGATTTATTCAGGAACTTCCTTCCAAAAACAGTCACACATACCAATCTCAGCTGAATCATTTAATACATTCGAAATCATTTAATAGTACAGCCGAAATCATTTAATAGTTCAAAATTCGTACCATGCTCTATATATATATATATATATATATGTTGGAAAACTCTTCCCAATGCCTATAGGCAAAAATGAACAGTGATTTTGCCTACCCTCACCACCATCCTTGTCCGGTAGTGTTTCAATTTTTATTTTGTTTCTACAAATTCAAATTAGTTGAAATTTGGAGTGTGTGTATACTTAGTGCGGCTCACCTAATAAAAATATGAAAAACAATAATTTGTAAAATATAAATTTACAGGGGTATTTTGATCAATTTATATTTTGCGAATTATTTTTTTTATATTTTTATTAGGTACGCCCATCTAAGATGTACACACGCTCCAAATTTCAGATCATTCCAATTGGTAAAAAAAGAAAAAGAAAAATAAAACACTACTGGACAATTGTGACCGTGAGATGAAGTTTGGATGGTTATGAGGGTAGGCGAAATCACTGTTCATTTTCGTCTATAGGCGTTTTGTAGTATCTTCCATATATATATATATACATACATATTTACAAGCATGTATATTGAGGGACACGTGGACATGTGTTAAAGTTTGTTTCTCCTAATAGATGAAGTTTAAATATATGTGCCAATTTAGGTCTAGTAGGTATTATGTATGAAAATGTTATCAGTTTATGTAGTATTTTATGCATTTATACATAAAAAGTCAGATGCCTCTACTAGTTGACATACATCCCTTTGTATGTATCTATCCACTTGCACACAAATATGGACATTTGCATTTAAGCTTTATAAATTCATTGGTAATGATGTCAAAACTCAAAATGAATGGTAACAGGCCTTCTGTGCTCTTCTACCCAACATGGAATCAAGATCCATGCAACGCCTCCCAAGCTACTGCTCTCCCTAAACAACTAGGCCCATCACTCACTTTACTGTCTACTCTTTCACAACTTTCATTTATTTGAACTTAGGTATTATCCTAATTGTCTATCACTATCTAAGTGTTAGGCTAATAGTAGATGCTTACATTTCGAAAGGATTTGTCTTCTGTTTTTATTCTATCATTTTGTTTTGGGTTTGCTTGGTGCCTGTTATTCTATCTTTTTAATTTCCTCTTTGTTCTTTGGATAAAAATGTCAAGTCATACTTGCTCTTTTAAGTTGGGTTAATTAATAATGCAAGTTTAATCCTGTAGAAAAGAAACAAAACATGTATCTGTTGAACATAAAGGAAATATGTATCAGTGTGAAAGAAAGAATTATATCTCTGTTGAAAAGAAAGAAAAACTAATAATGCAAGTATAATCCCTATTGAAAAGATGGGAATATGTATTTGTTCAACAATTAAATATTTGGATTATATAGAATCTCGTGATTGTATGAATTATTCACATTGGTGAACTATTGTGCAGGACAATGGGAAAGGCATGCCGCATGAGGACATACCAAATATGTTTGGAAGAGGTTCGTTGTCATCATAATGTTTCCTTCAGACAATGATATACCTTCATTATGGAAAAAGAATTGCATCCCATGGTTGTTGGACTTGTTAGTCGCCACTTGCTTCAACTCGTAATAGGAATTCCTTCTGCTGGTTGACTAAAATATGGATTCTAATTGTTGTTCACCTGTACAGTACTCTCTGGGACAAAATATGGTCTAAAACAAACACGTGGAAAGTTTGGGCTTGGGGCAAAAATGGTAGGCCTGAAATTTACTTTTTATGACTTTTTCTTTTGTATTTCTAATCTTTGGTAAAAGTTTACATATTTTCCATGAAAAGATATTGTTATAAGACGCACCAGCTCTCGTGCAATCATTGTGCATCTGCTTTGGTTAATTCTATACTTGAATTATACTATTGACTTCCTAAGGAGTATATATTATTACGAGTTGGTTTTTTTTAATTGTTGCATTATTATCAAGAATATTCATGGTTACACTTGTGGGGGTATCTTCTCCCAAGGATGTAAAGAGATGGGGGCATGATGAATTAAGTCTCAGATTTACTTCACAGAAAATTGAAATTTGTATTCCAAAAGTAAAAAAATGCTGAATATCTCCAAAGAAAAACCTGGCGCCAAACTTTCCATTGTCAACCTTCGAAATGCTTAAATTATACCTTTATGGTTATTTGTAGGTGAGGGGGGTTAGGATTGGCTTTGGTACCATATGTGAATACAATGTTCTGGGTGGAAAAAAGTGATTCTTTGCATATTCCTTCGTCTCATTTGTGGTTTCTTTGTGACAATGTATCATTGAATATCTTATATTTAGGTGAGTTTTTGCAGAACTCCAGAAAAGGTCATGTCAATCTGTGACAGGTCAAATACTGTATTAGACATCTCCCTGGCTGCAGATTTGTGAGAATGATATAAAAACAAGTTTAATGTAGAGGCAATATCTATGCTAAGGTGATGTCATTTAGTTCTCATCTTTGACATTTGACTAATATGGTCTTATGCAGGCATTGATTTGGTCCAAGATGAGTACAGGGCTTCCTATTGAAATTTTGTCATCAATGAGAGGCCAGAATTATGTGTCATTCTGCAGGCTGGATATTGATATTCATAGGTGTGCCTTTGACAACACATTCAATTTTTTCCCAATTTTCTGATAAAAAACCTACTAGAAGAAACAGTAGCGTTGTCAACTCATTATTAATTTGCAAATGGGTTCTCTCTTTGAAGTCTCCTAATTCATAGAAAGCTGATCTACAGATTGTAACTTACTAACTTCTCTTAACCATTCAGGAATATTCCTCATGTTCATATACATGAGAAGCGGGAGAACAAGGAAGAATGGCATGGAGCAGAAATTCAGGTCATCATAGAAGGGAACTGGACCACATATAGAGTAAGTGGTAGTTGGACTGAAACTTAAATTTTTTCAATACTATTCAGTTCATTATAGAAGCAAACCTGACTACTTAATAAGTTATCATTTGGACTAATACTTCAATTTTCTATGACTTCTTTGGGTCTTTCCCTGACTTGTGGCATTGTGCTTTCACTTCTTTACCATGATTGAGAATTTCTAAGAAGCCTATTGTGTTGATCTATGCAATTATTGGTAACTCTTGACTATTGGTGGGGAATAAAAATGACTTCATTTTGGAATGAAATAGACCATCAAGATCCGTTATGAAGAAAAATGACAATCAAGTTTTTATATGCAAAACTCATTAGTTTGCTATTTTTGTGATTAAAAATGTTTACTTTTGAAACTTGTACGAGTACCATGTAGATCTTCATATAATCTTTTTTATTCTTTTTCCTTCGTATGTTTCAGTCAAAGATTCTACATTATATGCGTCAGATGGCTGTAATCACTCCCTATGCACAGTTTCTTTTTAAACTCATTTCAGACATGGCAGAGTGAGTTTTCTTACTTTTTTTAGATTTGCGATGGTTTTCATTCTATTCTGATTTCATAATGATTTGTCATTCTTAACCATACATGGGATCCATCCAATCCAAGGGCATTTGCTTATGGTTATAATTATACTGCAGTAAAAATGTCACTATACATTTTGCTCGAAGAACAGATGTAATGCCTCCGGTTCCTGTAGAAACAAAGCACCACCCATCTGCTGTGGATTTACTACTTATCAAACGCCTTATTGCAGAGACTTCCAAGCAAAATCTGTTGCAATTCCTCCAGCACGAATTTGTGAACATTCGTAAATCTTATGCAGAGCGTCTAATTGGTAATGATTATTACCTGGTGTTTCATTTTCATTTTACAATTTCTTGATTGTTAAATAAAGTTTCCACTGAAATGCCGTTACATAGTGCTCTTATTTCTTATGGACCAATATCTCTCTAAAATGAATATTATTAAAAAGAGTCACCCTCTTCAGAATTTCAGGCTGCTTAGAATGCTCACTTGAGAATTACTCATCATTTTGAAGCTTTCAGATTCTCTTGCTACTTTACAGGAGAAATGGGTTCAGATTTCAGCCCTAAAATGGCTGTGAAATCCCTCTCATCTCAGCAAGTAGTTCGTATTCATCAATTGTTCCGTCAGGCTAAATTTGCTGATCCCAGTGGTGATGTGAGGACTACTTGTTATGACTATTGTAACTATTTTGAATTTAATGGACTGGCATAGTACTAATAACAATCACAGTGTCTTAGTCCTGCAGGAGAGTACAATCTTCGTCTGGGGATCATCAAGGAGTTGCACCCTGACATGGTTGCAACCTATGCTGGAAGGTCGTGGTCTTTATGTTTGATCTTGATTTCCTCTAGCCTCTGAGAATCCAATTTAACATTTTAGGTATTGGAAACAGTTTGTGATAAGTTTGAAGATACTGTATTATTGTTTTCTAACTTTTGATGGTTCTTACCATTCTCTACATTTTTATAACTTGGCCCCTTTTTACAATAAGAAAACGTGGTTTATTTTGTATGGTATTTGTTTTACTAGACTGCATTATTGGCGTTTGTTGCCATGTGGTTGATTTTCATGTCCCTTCCCATGCAGCCCTCAAGTGTTTGAAGGTCATCCATTTCTTATTGAAGCAGGAGTAAGCCTGGGTGGGAAAGATGTTAAGCAAGTAGGTTCTTTGTTGCACAATATGAGTTCTTTGTTGCATAATATGATTCATTTTACTGCCCATGATTTGCATCTAAAGCACTGGTACCTTGCCTTTTGGTATTTTTATTTTTGGAAATGGTTAGCTGGGTTTGTTAGATGAAAATGTATATTATTTTTAGAGATGTCTGATGCACTCTTCTAGGTTGGCCTTCATGTTTGCAATGTTTGTTGGGTGGTTATCACATTTTCCTCACAAGTGAAAATATATATTTTTCAGTTGTCCTCACACATACATGCACACATGTATCACATTTATTCCAGCATTTCAGTCTTAGATATAGGAAATTACTTTAACTCTGCCATGGCCGATCCCAATCCTGTCATGCCGGTCCCAAGCTGGGGTAAAGGAGGAGGGTTGTATTAGGTATAGCAGCCAACGTAAAATTTTACCACATTTTTTCATGAATCCTGAACCTATGAACGGCATAACAAAATTCATATAGCCAACCCCAAATAGTTGGGATAAGGTTCGGATGATGATGATGCTGATATAGGAAATTACTTTAATATTTTCATCTATAGAGGTAAAAATATCTCTGAGAAACTTGTTATCTTGCTTTCCAAATTCACCAGACAATTTCTTTAGTCTTCTAAACAACCCTTCCTTCAGCAAGGAATGCCCACAAATCCATCCCCTGGTGAAACCAACAAGGGATTCAAGCAAAATCCAAGATATGCCAAACCAGTCAAGAGGATTCTCTGAGTATTCTAAGCGGAATATCCTGTGGATGATTAGATGATCAATTATTTCCTTATCCTTCAGATGCAACAAACATGGTGGGGAGAACAAGGCTGCGATATAAATATGGTTGATATTTCCAGGATTAAGTCCATAGTAGAACACAGGGTAGATTTGGAGCCCTTGAAACCAAAAAAGCCTAGGGAAATTTTATGATCGCTACACCACCAATAGGTGCTTGATTAAAGGACTTGATTGTCCCTTAACCTTGTGCCAAGTCTTCCTATGAGCCTCCACATTTAGGTGGAAAGTGAAAACTACGTTAGTAGATGGCACAACTCCTCTACATTGCCATCATTCAAATCCTTTCTAAACTTGAGCAATACCCTACTCCTCTGTCTCTCAAAGCAGTCCCTAACTTTATCCCCTGCCTCAACTTGTGGCACCACAATGTTTTCATACTAGAAATTTCTGCTAATACTGTATGAACAAGTTGGATGGGAACTGACGAATGATGCCTGTGGATTGAACATTTGCCATTTGCCAACCACACCAAAGCTGATAGGGTATTGATAATCTGATCTCTGTCTCTCTCTCTCTCTGCGTGCGTGCATGTGTGTGAGCACACAACATAAATACACGAGTCTTCCTCCCTCTCTTACACACACACGTACATACATGTATACATATCTGAGTTTATTTATATGTATAATATGTCAACATTTTATAGGTCAATATCCTTTTCTAAAAACTTTAAAACTTGGGTAAACTGGTGGACCACCTCATGTAGTTGTACTTGCACCCTTACTAAGGTGGACCACCTCATGTAGTTGTGAAATACAAATACTGACATATTTAAGTCTTATATGTAAATATATTAACATTTTTATAAGTCATAATCATCTTCCAAGACTATAAAACTTGGCAGTCAACATTTCTCAAAAAAAAAAAAGACTATAAAACTTGGCTAAAACCGGTTTCTGGAGGTCTGTCCTTCGAAGCCGAGATTTCTTTCTACAATATGTGCATTTCCGTCCACGAGAAGGGACAAGGGTGAAAGTTTGGACAGGCATTTGGTGTGGCCATATGCCTCTCAGGGAACAGTATCCCAACCTCTTTCTTATTGCCCATGATGCTCTTGCCTTCGGTGGCCGACAATTTCAGTGTCTCTGAAAATATTCAATCGTGGTCACCTAATATTAGGAGATCTTTTTTCGACCATGAGCTTGAAGACTTTAGCTCTTTGGCCAGCAGAATTCAATCTGTATTCCTCTCGCCATCTGGAGCCAATAGGATTATCTGGGCCCCTAGTCCCTCAGGTTTGTTCTCGGTCTCCTCCTCCTATCACACTTTCACCACCCCCTCCAACTCCTTTGGCCATAGCTGTTATATAGCCTCAAAAGCTTGGAACCCTTTATACCTCCTAGGATCCAGGTGCTTTGTTGGAATCCACAGCACGATAGATTATTAACAGTTGATCAACTTCAAAGGAGGGGGATGCAAACCCCCAATAAATGTGTACTTTGTATGGAGGATGTCAAACAGTCATCCTCTTCTACACTCCGACTTCTCTAGAGCAGTATGGAGAGGCATCCTGAAACTGTTTGATTGGGCATGGGTCATCCTGAGATCAGTGCCCTACCTTTTTCAAGCTAACCTCCTCGCTCCTTGGCCTAAGGCGGGAAGGCTCCTGTGGAAAGCTTCGATCTCAGCCACTATCTGGGTACTGTGGATTGAAAGAAACCAAAAAATTTTTAGGGGAGTAAGATCCATGGCTGCGCAGTTGGCAGAGAAAGTCGGGAGTTTAGTGGCTTTCTGGGCCATCAATCACACACTCATCGTTCACTGATTTTCACAGTAATTGGTCGAATTTGCTGTGCCTTGGCTACCCAAGAATCTCAAGGCCCTCTATGTGGAGACCACCGGATAGGGGAGCCTTCAAGCTCAATTTTGATGGTTGCTCCCTTGGCAATCCAGGACCCTCAGGCTTCGGGGGTCTCTTCCGTGCTAGTGATGGGTGCACCTTGTTGTCCTTTTCCCGTCCTATTGGAGTTACAGACTCTACTCTTGCTGAGGCTCTTGCCCTATTGGAGCATCTTCGCACTTGTGAAATCTCTTGGAGTCACGACCTAATAGTGGAGGGAGATGTCAAGAATATTATCTCTTGGGCTTCTAATCGCTCATCTTGACCATGGCGTCTTGATGATATCTTTGAGGAAATTTTGCATTTAACCTGTGCCTTCATGATTACGTAGCGCCACATGTATAGAGAAGCCAACTCAGATACTGATCGGTTGGCTAAGGATGGGACCAGCTCCTGCTCCCCTTTGGGGACTAAGGGCCACCAATCCTTCTATGCCCCACTGAGTGCTTTTTTCCCTTTACACCTTTTGTTTATTTCGTCCCTAATTGGGATTGTATAGAGTGACCCTGCGAGGTCACCATACCTCTTGTAATTTTGGTTCTTACCTATGACATACTATACGATGAAGTTTACAAAAAAAAAAGTTCGCTAAAACTGGTGGACCACCCAAGGTTATCAAATGTGGGATTCGGCCTTGATGCGGTTGGGGTTCCGATGCTGGATATGCGATGTGGTCAAGAAATTAAAAAAATTAGAAAATTCATAAAAAATATAAGAATGCATGGAAAATACTAATTTTTTTTATTATTGCAATAGTAGAAATTCAAATATTAATTTACTATTTTTCTCTAATATGAGTCACATGATAGCCTAATAGTCTAATAAAGAGTAACAGAGTTTGTTGTGTTACATGTAACATCAAGTAATCCATTTCATCCTAAAGTAATGACAATAACAATTTAACATAACATCCAAAGACCAAAACACTTCACAATCACAAGTTCAAGACCACAACTGCACAACCACAACCTGAACATCATTTTCAAACTCCAAAGACCAAAAGTTCATAACATATAAAATGTAAAAAATAATAAATATATTGAAGTTCAATAAGTCAATTTGACAACTCTCAAGTTCTAATCAGATGAGTTTCAACTTCCAATTAACTCTCAACTCTCAAGTCCTAGCTCCAAAATTGCAAGAAATTTTGATTTCTAGGGTTTAATATCCTATGCCTTGGAATCCGGTTTAATATCCTATGCCTTGGAATCCTTCGTTTACTTGCCTTCAAAATGAGTCCCAAAACAATATCAAACAATCGACCAAACATTCAAGAGCAAGCCCCCATTATTTTTCAAAATATTTGGAAGCATAAAAATCTTTTGTTTCTTTCTTTCTTTCTTTTTTTAATTTTGATCCCCTTAAAACCATGGACATTTGGTTGTAAGGGCTTTTGAGGGGGTTATTTCCCTTTCCGGGGAGGAAATAACAATTTTTCCCCCACTTGTTGGGCAAAATTTTCGCCCACAAGCAGGGCCACATAGGCAGGCGATAGCCTTGATGCGATGTGGCTGCATTGCAAATTCCTGCATATGCTGGTGGTGGTGATGCGCCCAGGGCTGCGTTAGGCGGCCACATTTGATAACAATTAGACCGCCTAGTATAAGGTTGGGCTGAACCCTGAATGATTTAAGGCTCTATAGGATCAAATAACGAAGTAAAATATCTCCCTGTTATGAAACTTCTTGAGGTTCTATTTATCGGTATCTTTTTCTGTTTTTGTACATTGTCAAGCCAACCAATTCATTTTTGGGTTTCTATGCATATTCAAGGTTTGAAAAAAATTTCTGCATTTGTCAGGCCAGCTGATTTAGTTTGTATTTTTTTTGCAAATTCAGGGTTTGAACATATTTCGTTTTGCTAATCGTATTCCACTTCTTTTCGAGCAAGGAGCTGATGTTGTGACCAGGACTGCCGCAAAGATCAAGTGAGAAATGAGGAAAATATTAATGAAACTCTCATTTCATGAACTAATATGCAGTCACAATTCTTAATTCACTAAACCACTTTTCTTGGACAGCTGGAGTTGCTACAAGATAAACCAAAGCCAAGATAAGATCGGTGTTTTTGTTAGCATTGTTAGTACAAAAATACCCTTCAAAGGAACTGGAAAGGAATACATTGGTGCTGATATAAATGAAATTGTTTCCGCTGTAAAGGTGAAACTGCTGTGCTATAAATGGTTGCCTCTTTACATATTCCCAAAAAATTGATTGGTCATGGAATTGATTTTTCGCGACTATTGATTTTGTTGTAATCCAGACTTCCATTCAACAATGTTGTATCCAGTTGAAGACAAAGATAGTGAAAAAACTTCAAGCTCGTGAACGACTGGAAAGAAAGCGAAATTTGACCAGGTAAGTCCTCTCTCAGTATACTGCCCCATTGCAATCTCTGCTGAGAATGAGTAATCGCAATGGAGATTCCTACTGATTACTTTACGAGCTTGATGAAAGATTTTTAAATTAAGGGAAAACACAAAAGCGCACTGAAGTTTTATGGAATATCCCCATATTTTCAATCATGGCCATACAAACTTCCAGCATTTGAAACAGTTTTATGATCCTAATATTCCCTTTATTGCAATCGTGCTTCAGCCCCTCGTAGCATCTCTTTTCTCTACTTTAGCGTCATTTGACCCTTGTAGACATTTTGTGTATGTTATCATGTTTTACATTTCCTTTTCCTTCATAGGACTTTTTTGTGATCACCATGTCAATTGATCTTGTTCTTTTTGGCCCATTGATTATTTTTTATGACATTTTTGGCCTCTTTTAGATACATTCCCGATGCTTCTAGGGCAATATATGGTGTTATGAAAGAAATAGCTAAGAGTCGGGACTCAAAGCAGAGGCAATACAATGAAAAGGAGGAAGAGATCCTTAACAAGGTGTCTTGTCGGGAGATCACAGAGCCAATAATTAAGGAAAAGCTCACTCATTATGTGGAACAGGTAAACCTTTTGTCTATATATTATTTTTAATTTTTTTGTCTTGTTTTGAGTGATACATGGAATGCGTAATATTTGAAAACCAAGTTGCTTCTTTGAATAACTAATAGTAATAAAAATGTTATATATTGAAAAAAGTTTTCTTATTTGATTCAAGCAAAAATATAGCATGCGAATAGATGTCACCATTTTTTGTTCTTGCAATACTGTTAAGAAAGAGAATGTCCAAAATATCATGAGAAGCTGCCCTTTCCCTTGTTTTTTCCTTTTACCGCT